TTGATCAAATTTCTAAAATAAAAAAATATTTTGCAACCCAAAAAAAAGTTTTATTTTTTGGGTGATGAAAAAAAAGGTGAGTGGTACAGGTAGGGTTGGCAAAACGGGCCAACCCAACCTAACCCAACCCGCATTTAACCCAAAAAAATGAACCGGGTTAGGGTTGGCTCAAAAAAAAAACCAGCCAGAAAATCCAACCCAACCCGATCTGAGTCGGGTTAGGGTTGGCTCACGGGTTGTCTCAAAAATATGGCTCGTGGGTTGACTTGAAAAAATAGCTCTCGAGTTGGCTCAAAAATTGGCTATTAAATTGCTCGCGGGTTGGCTCGTTTTCAGCCTATTTAAATGACCTTGTAATATTAGTGCACCAGCTATGTGACTTCTATTAGCTTAAACAAAGGGTTACAAAATGAGAAATAAAAGCAAAATATTTTAGTTTCGAATTTTCTTCACAACCAATTTGCATCAACATCCAGAAACAATCAGAATCACTTGCTATCAAGTGGGTAAAATATTTGAACCAAACAAATCCAGCACAACCTAACAATATAAAAATGGCAGGTAAGAAGATTAGGGACTTATGTTTATAGAAGGAAGAAAAATGATGACAACATGTGTGGGTTTTGTCCGTTTTTGTATGTTATATTTTGTATTTTTTATAAAAAAAAAAAACCTCAACCTGTGAGCTGGCTCGTTTGACCTACGGGTTGGCTCGTTTTTTCACGGGTTGAAACGAGCCGGGTTGGCAACTCATTTTTGTTAATCCAACCCGACTCATTTTTGGCGGGTTACGAGCCAACCCGACGGGTTGCCTCAATTTTGCCAACCCTAGGTACAAAGGTAAAAACCACGAGGAACCATGATCACCTGTAGAACTCTTTTCCTGAATTCAATATCTATGTTGAGCTTTAAAACATAATTTTTTTGGATAAATCACTCATATCCTCTACAAGAGGCAATTTTATTCAGGGCGTGTTCAAGATTAAGGTTTTAAATCCTTCTCAAAATGATACTGAAAAAAATCGAACACATGCTTTCACCTTAACCTGTTCAGCTCTCATACACCAATCGAGCTACCATTATTTGATAAGCTTTAAAACTTCTTCAAGCTCTCATATATAAGCCTGCATTAAAATTCCAAAGGTTATGTATTTGTCATGTTTGGTAAAAAAAACCTTATAAAACTTGGGGAAGAAAATGGGCTTTTTGACCCTTTTGCCCCTCATTAATTAATTAATAACTATTTTTTCCCTTACCCAAAACTATCCACCAACCTGCCCTTCTTTAATCGATTAACTTGAATATTTAATCGATTAAATGGTCAAAACATGCAAAAATGGTTGACTCGAGATTTAATCGATCAAATCTCCCTCTTTAATCGATTAAGAGAGATATTTAATCTATTAAAACTTATATTAATCAATTAAATATCCCAAATGACCGTAAAACCATTGATTGAATGAGACAAACAAGGAAAACTCGCTACTTTCAAAGGGGATGATTGAAATCTATCTTACTTGCTGTGAAGAAATACGAAATGGAAGTATTTCACCCCGACCTGAACTGAAGTTTGAATATGTTAATAGGGACAGTGAGTACATGCATGGTGGTCATCCTCAACCAGTATATTGTGATTTAGGGACTTCAGAGGGTAGTATTGAGGATGACCACCATTCATGTACTCACTGCCCTTATTAACATATTCAAACTTCAGTTCAGGCCGAGGTGAAATACTTCCATTTCGTATTTCTTCACAGCAAGTAAGACAAATTTCAATCATCCCCTTCGAAAGTAGCGAGTTTTCCTTGTTTGTCTCATTCAATTAATGCTTCACGCTCATTTGGGATATTTAATCGATTAAATATCTCTCTTAATCGATTAAAGAGGGAGATTAGTCTCATGGCTATGGACTGTGGGGATACCCGGATGTAATCCAAAAAAAAAGGGGAGATTTGATCGACTAAATCTCGAGTCAACCATTTTTGCCTGTTTTGACCATTTAATTGATTAAATATTCAAGTTAATCGATTAAAGAGGGGCAGATTTGTGGATAATTTTGGACAAGGGACAAAATGATTAGCAATTAATTAATGAAGGGCAAAAGGGTCAAAAAGCCGAAGAAAATGACATAAGATAGATTAAGTGTATTTTTATAAAAATGGTAAAATAAACATATTGATTAGAAACTTTAACACTGTTAAGAAGGGACTTGAGTGAAAAAAAATATAGGAAAATAAATGATAAACAAAATAAAAACAAAGGTAAATGATTCAAAGGCAAACCATGGAAATATTTAAAATTTTCCCTTAATTTTATTTCCCCTAAAGAAATTAAGTGGATAAAATCAACATCTTATTCTTTGTAGATAGGAAATCTGACTTAAAAGGAAAAGTTATACAGTGCTTGGGCGTTGATGTAGGCCAAAAATACAGTGTGCAGAAGTTGATGTTTGCCTGCACGTTGTTTTGTTGTTTTGCAAGGTAAGTTCAAAAGGGCAATACACATATCCTTAGACTTTCACACCACGAAGCCCTATTTTAACATCTTCACCTAACTCATCCCACAAAACTCACTCCCACGCAGTTCATGGCTTTTTGTTAGAGACGTGCAATGAATCAATATCTGATTTGAAGCTAAGATTTTTATTGCGGAAATAAAATGACATTATGATTCAGAACAAATTTTTAAGCCCACAATATTCCACATGATGTAACCCATGATTTTATTTTTATTTTTGATTGAGACGGTGGAGTTGGTGTTTGGATGAAGCAAGGCATGCACAGTTTTTTATTTAAGAAGTGTGCGTGTCATACTTCCTTATTTTAATATTCCCCTTCTGTTTGGCGACAAAAGCTAAAGATAAAGTTTTTTTTATTTAAATTTTTTTTTTTTTTTTATACAAAGCTAAAGATATAGTTTATTAAAGGTTATAATGGTAATTTGAAAACAAAAATCAAACTTTGATTTTGCAACTACGGCAAAATAATAAAAAAAACCAAACATTTACTATATCGAATAAGTTATAATTTGTTGCACAGAAAGTTAAGATTAAAGGTGTAAATGGATAAAATTAGGTTAAATTTTAGTTTAAATATTAGACCAAATTTATATAAAATAATTTGAGTTTTGTCTACCTTATTAATGTCGTACAACCTAAATTATAAGAGTTAACATGATATATATTTAAAAATGAAGAAGCTTAGCCTAAGTCTAGTATTCTATTTAATTTTATTACGCCTTCAAAACCATATAAAAAGCAAATAAGATAGTTAAAATAATATTATTTTATTATTTAAATTATTTAAATAATTATTTTATTTTATTTACAAACTTATAAACCCGACCTGTAATATTCCAAAAATAAAATGTTATTGTTGATTGATACTGTTCACATGAACAGTACCGTGTAAAAAGCGCCAATAAAATAATTCTTTCAATTTAGAACAGTGAAAAAATTACTATATGTACAAACTGTAATGTACAATTTGAAATAAGGCAGTGCAATACAAGTGAGGTAATTAAGAGTAACCTGATTAAATTCGCGAGACAAATGAATTGTTCAGAAAATATCATAACTCATTAATAAGCGAAGGACAAACAAAAGAAAAGTACTCATAAAATATATTTTTACCTCATGGATAAAACCAAAGTAAGCAAGCGGGAGATTAAATTAGGACAGAAAAGTTTAATTTTATTACCATGTAAAAAAATTGTCACAAATCTCAAAAGTTCATATAATATTTTTTTTTTAAAAAAAATACTAAATTAAGCTTTATGTACTCTACTTGTTAGTGATAAATTGAAGAGAGAAAAAAAAAAGATAGATATACTGGGTATTTGTTGGATTCAATCAAAGTATTTGAAACCCTTTGATTTTAAGCATTAAGAAGAACATCGCTAAAATAAGCATCATATCGTGTGGACAAAATGCAAAACATGATTCGTAAAATCCTTATATATCACAACTCCTACACAGATCCAAGTGGCCACGATTGAATGAACCAATTATTAATTTATCAAGTACCATACTTTAGAACAAAATCTGAACAAACAATAGAGTATGAGATAATATTAAAATAAAAAAATCAAGTATCAGAAGAAATCATTGGTCACTGCTCAGTCACTAGATTGCAATGAAGTCCGAACAAAATGATAAATTAAAAAAAATCATGTCAAACCAACCAATCTTGTTCTTAAAGCTCAAACCCATCAAAATAATAGTAAAAAGAGTTGGATGAATACAAAATGATTTCAACGAGGTTTATTTGATCATAGTGGATTATTGAGGTTGCTATATGATCTGTAAACTAGCGGTATCTATGAAGGAGATACTTACAGATAATAGGCATATTACTGTACATAAACATTAGACAATAAATCCAAAGAAGTGTGTATGTGCACAGTAACAGTTAAGAGATTAGGATTTCAAGAGAGCATATTCCTTAATTTAATCCTTTATTTATAGAGAGATTTACCTAAATATTCAATAAGGTCCATTCTCCTAGGCTAATGACCTCATTATTGTTGGAAATCGACACACACAAATTGAAAAACAAAAGAGAAAGAAAAAAGAGAAATTGACACAATAATTTACCTGATTCACATAATGTAAACTACGCCCAGCTTGTTTGTACTATAATCACTTCACCGTCACTCGTTACAAGTAAAAAAAACTAAAAACAAATTTAGAAAATCTTAACAACAACTATTCATAGGTCCAAATCCAAACTACTAAGTAAAAGAAAATTACAATATGTCAAAGGCCCACAACAGTACCAGGCTTCATCAGAATGCGAAGTATGAGCCATACCCAACAATTAAGCGATTGCAAAACAAGGTTTTATTTTTTGTTTTGTGCAATGAATGTTGTTTGCACATAGCTTTCAAGGTCTCCTTGTGGGTTTGCGTTGAAATCTTCCAGGCTTAGCGTGAAGAGTTGGACTCCAATACATTCTATTACTCCACGTCATGATACCTTCCCACACCTTTAAACACAAGAACCTCCCTATTCTCTCTCTCACCTTCAATCCAATTCACTAACCAAATCACCAAAAACCTTTCATTTTCTCTGTTCTCTCTATTTTTCTCTCATTCTCAAACATAAAAATGGAGGGTCTTATTCCATTTGTGTACAAAGCTATAATGCAATACAAGAATGGCAAACAAGGTTCTATTGGTTCATGGCTTTGTGAGTCACCTTCTTACTCATATATGAAACTTCCTGGTGACTCGGGTCGTTTTCAAACCTCTACTTCTTCTCTGTTTGGATCAGATTATGGGTTCCCTTCATCTTCACCATCTTCCAAGCTTGCTACTTCCAAGGCTGCTAATTCTTCAACCCAAATTTTAGTTTCTTCTGGTGTTCAATCTCCACATCGTCGTTTGAATTCTCGTGGAGTTTCAACATGAACATGTACCCTTTGCAGACCAACCTGTTCTGGTACATGAATGTGATTACTGCTTGTAATGTTTAAGTGTTCAAGTTTGGCTTTTCAAGTTAGAATTTGCAAGTGTGTGGAAAACCAAAGGAGTCCTACGCTTGGTTAGTAGTATTGTGAAATTGTAAATATTGGTTGTGATTCTTAAGAAAGTGTATGTAATTCATGGCCAAAGGGTCATCATATACTATGTATGTGCTTTTAAAAATATATTAATAAGTGAAGTGAATGGGTTTCTTGGCCTAAGGGGTCATGGAAACTATGAATTTGTAGAATATCAGACAGCAATTGTTTGTTTGTTTGTTTGTTTTACTTTATGTTCTGATTTTTATTCTCAGTTTTGTGGGATTGGTTAATGTTTCTTAGATGTTATTGGCATTCGAAGCGTGGGTCTCTGAGAATTGGTGATCTAAAAGAAATAGCAATAAGAGTGAGAGCATATTTTTTATTTATTTGAGAAATTAAACTATCTTTCTAATCAGTAAAATACTGTTTTGGTAACCATCATCTAACAAGATTTTTATTAAACAAATTTTCAAGTATTTATTTATATCTGGTTTGGTGGTTGATGGCGTGTAAAAACGGATATTGTTTTCCCAAGTGGGCTCACTTGTGCCATGCCAGGTATGCTTACATGGATGTTTCAATATGTAAACCTAATCCAACTTGAAAATTTTCATTGTGCTGATTCTTATCCTATTGCTTTTTTGCTTCGTGGTTGGTTTTGAAAAGTATTGAACAGCAGATATCACTTATTTTTTTGTTTGTATCTCGTATATGGTTGGTTTACTGATAAACCTGTGTTTGAGACTATATTAGTATAGGAATTAATGTTTCTTATGTTATAGAGAACAATTTCATCTCCTTAACACACGTAAAAGTGTGTAGAGCTCATGAGAAGAGAAAAGAAAAAAATTGTAGTATAAAATTTTAAAATCCGTGTGCATTTTTTTTTCACCCACAGGATTATACATGCAATTAGTCCGTACAGAAATAACACAGGTACAAATGCAATTAGGTAGGTTTCCTCTTTTTCTGTCCTTCAAAAGAATTGCGTATTTCCCGTTAAAAAATAACTGAAAGGAAAAAAATAAAATAGATACAAAATGGAAAAATGGTTGTGTATAAAATCACTTGAAGTTCGTAATTTTGTGCTCATATTCATATATTGTGATGGGTCAAGATCAAAGTGTAAGGTATATTTTAGAAAATAATACGGAGGTTTTCAAAAGTAAATAAATAAATAACAATAATAAAAGAGAAAAACTAAGACGGTATTAAAAAGTGTAACAAGGTTATTATTATATTAATGTAAAAATAAAAAATCTTTCTCTCATTTTTTATTATTGATTCATTTGTATCCAATAACTCATATAATTAAAAAATTAAAACTATTAAATAAAAATAAAATTAACAGTTAACATTAAAAAATGTAAATTATACCAGTGTATAAAATAATCCTCACCCTTGACAAATATTGATTAGAAACTAATTTTCTTATTATAGAAGACTCAATAGTTATCATGTCACACACGGAAGTTCAAACTCCATTAATACTACTTAAACAAAATAGCATTTAATCAAAATTGTTTTATTTTTATTTTTTTCAAGCGAGAGTGCCTCTTTTCTTATTATTATTGTTGTCGTTGTTTATAGCATGTAAACATGGACTTTGCTTTCTAAAAGAGGCAAGTGATTTTTACCTCCTCGAAATTTTGTGGAATATTATTACTTTCTTGATTGCCGCATAAAACGTAGAAAATAAAGTTTTGTATTAAAATGAGCAACCAAATGTTTTTGTTATCCAGCTTAAATAAACCACATGCACACAAAGGTTTCTTAACACCTATTGTCTCCCTACATATCATGAAGCATTTGAGCCTAAATGGATTTCATTTTTTATTTTATTTTTTAAAATTCAGAGTTTCCTGCATGAAATTGTAACTAACATGATTCTACCTGCCCTTCATAATCCCCTGTATACAGATACCATAGATGCCATATTTTACATTAGACTTTTCAAGCATTAGAAATAACTATAGTAGGCTAATAACAATAGCCGTGTAGGTAATACAAAAATTAACTCCCTATTAAACCCCGCTTTGAGAGTGTAGATAATATAGCTAGTAAATAAGAATTACAATAGTTAACCCAGTCAAAGTAAAATAATATATGCAATCTGTATATAGCATGGATTTTAAATTATAATAAGTGGAATGAGACTCTAGTTGCTTTCCAAGTTTTACAGGCTACTAAATTACTAAATATATATCTTGGCTACAATAAGCAAGAAAGATAACATAATCATATCAAAGGGCCTAGATTAAACCAGAATCTATACCTAGATTGAGGCGTGGCAAGATTGAAGAAAGAAAAATCAATCATTGTTGAGCAGGGACAAGAAGGAAAATTATGCCCATATGTCATGGCAAGTAACATTCAAACAAAATTTACAAGAGCTATCAAAGATACTGATATGTGGACGGTGGTCAGAAATAAGTTAAGCTAAACTGAGGCCAAGATCCAAAACATCACATGTGATGACATTGCTGTAAGAACCCAGGTGATAAAAGCCATGGCAATAGAAATCTGGTACCTGTTGCAAGGGAGATTCTTACGAGTCGCACATAAATCCAGGTCTCTTGCGTATAAAACAATAATTCCTGCTGATGAGCATGCTGCTGCCAGTGACAAAGTAGCTGTTACCTGCATTTCATAAATCAATATGATCTGACCAGCTAATCAACACAATTTTCATCAGAATATAAATAATGTGATGCCATTAAAAAAAAAAGGAAAATAACAAAGGTTTGATTACAATCCCAAGACAAAACCAAACCAAAATCACTTTTCATTAAACTCAGACTAACGAGGATGGAGTGAGGGCAATCCTTGAATGCAGTCTTACCCTTACATATTTGCAAAGAAGCTATTTCTCGGATTCGAACATGTGACCTTTCAGTCACAAATGATCAGCTTTACCTCTGCTCTAGCCTCGACTTCTTTAAAATAAAATATGGAAATTGCCGCCCAATCAATACTTCACTTGAGTCTTAATTTTCATCAAGCATTATTTAAACAAATAGAGAATACTATTCTGCATTAGTACATAGATGTTAAAGCAGTAAGTGATGTTGCAGTTGGTACTGATTCATTAGTTGCTATTTAAAAATAAGAGCTCTCGCAAAAATTGAAGACATATAGACATTCAGACTTGAGAACCTGCAATAATTAAAATATTTAACTACAGATAGCAATTTTGTGTTTATTGCAAGTAATTAGTAATTACCAACCATAAATTAGCACAAATTGAATCCATGTTCAATTACATGATGCTTATGTTTACGCATATTTTTTTCTCCTCGGACTTTCTTTTGAGGAACTTATTTTTCCGCATGAAAATAGGAAAAAAGATAAGGAAAGTAAAATGATTATTACCCAATCGCCTACAACAAACAGGCTGACCAGAATTGGATTTTGTAGGTCTCTCTTTCTCCTCAAGGCATAAATATCAAGACATGCAAGTCCAAAGCTCCAGAAGACTTGAAGTCCCATTGATGCAGTTAAATAGCTGAAGTGCAGGAAAGTACTAGAGGGTTATGTTCACAAGAAAATATGACAATTTATTTAAGCACAGAAAAAATTAAAAAAATAATAAACAAAACGAAAAGAAGAAAGGAAACACTGTTTCTACTAAAAGAAAAACCAAAAACTTAACATTAAGTTGTAAACATTTAAGCATATTTTAACCAGAAAACAATGCTATCTGAGAATCCAGTGCAGTAAGAAATGACTAAGCACACACGTGCCATGGAAGATACAGAAAAAGAAATGCACTATCATCTTACATGACAAAGAACTCCAGTTGCTAAATTTAACCAAACTATTCTGGCAGCAGCAAGCAACCAAATTCTCTAATTCCCATTGCCAAGAACCCTAGAATTCGTGAATCTCCAGGGTCAAGGCTAGAGTATTACATTCATATTCATTGCTCAATTTCAACCAAGAATGTGAAATATTGAAAAACATTACCATTAGGATTTGGAACAAAACAATGCAACCAATTTCTAGTGAAAAAAATTAGAATTTGGACATTTTTAAGAAGAGTAAACATATATTTGGTGAGAACACTGTAGCAAGTGAATTGAAAGAGTACAAGTGTACAACACACATAATTATAATAGAGATTAGATTTAGAGGTGTCTAATTGGACCAGCCCCAGCTCACCACAGCCCTCGTAAGATAGGACTTCACGGGACCCAAAAGCCGACATGTTAAATGGTTTGTCAAAATTGTAGCCGGCCACCAATTTGCGGGGCTAAATGGGCCAGACCATAGGCAAAATCTCATTTTAAAACCTCAATCTAGAATATTCTATAAGAATCTAAAATGCTAGCAGGCTTAAACTAGTTTCCAACTTAACTATAAGCATGATCTAATCATGCCATTGCTCAAAAATGTCATGCTGAATATAGCGAGGCTCTTATTATGACAGAGGGTATCCAAGATAGCAATTTTTAAACTGCGAAAAAAGCAACATCAAATCCTGTGGAGTTCGAAAAATCTCATCTTCTTTTAGAGTGTGATCGGAAAAATTAAAAAAGGGATTTGATTTGATTTGTAAATCAATTCTTGTTTTTTGAACGTTAAAAAACATGAAATGAGTCAATTCGTAAAATCCCATGAATTTCATTCCTTTTAATTTAGAAATACTCTCTAATTTAGTAAGATTTGATTGATTTTTGAATAAATAAACTATTTTCCTTTACTATCCTCTTATAGTAAAAATTTAAAATAATAAAATAAATTCAATTCAAATTTTAATGAGTTCCAATCATGTAGATGGATATCAGGCAGAAAAACAAAGAACAGAGAAGAAAATCTATGGAATATATTTGATATATTGGAAAGAAATATAATAACTCACTCTTAGAGAGGTAAGCTCTCTCTCTCTCAGCACAAGTGCTGCCCAAATACTTCCCAAATTGACAGCCTACCTTAGGAACGTCATCCCTCTACCATTTTAATCATAACATCGACCTGAAAAAAGGATTGTATATATTGAAATTGTATACAACAGTAAAAAGAGGTCTCTATTTAAAGAGACTGAATGACTTATTGGAGTAAGTCCAAAGAAGATTCTAGGATAGAAAAATAATAAATTATAATTATTTACAACACTTCCCTTCAAACTGAGGAATAGATATTTATCATTCTCAACTTGCTAGTAAGCTCTTGAAATCTTTCAGAAGAAAGTCCTTTCGTCAGAATATCAGCTAATTGTCGCCCAGAAAGAATGTATGAAGTAATGATCAACCCGCTATCAAGTTTCTCTTTGATGAAATGGCGATTGACCTCAATATGCTTAATCCGATCATGTTGAACTGGATTATGAGCTATACAAATGGCAGACTTATTATCACAAAGCAGTTTCATAGGTCCTTCACATCTTATTTTGAGATCATCAAGTATAATTTTCAACCACAATAATTCAAAAATGCCTTGAGCAATAGCTCGAAATTCAGCCTCTGCACTTGAAATGGCATCCACATCCTCTTACTTACTCCTCCATGTCACTAAGTTACCAAAAAAAAAAATACAATAACCAGTGGTAGATCAACGATCACAATAACCAGTAGTAGATCAAGGATCAGTCACGGATCTAGCATCAGTATAAATTTCTAAAGAGAGATTGTCATCACGCTGAAATAACAGTCCTCTACCAGGAGTGGCTTTAAGATACTGAAGAATTCTCTCCACTGCCTACATGTGTTTTTCTTTTGGATTATGCATGAATTGACTCACAATACTAACAGCATAAGTTAGGTCTGATCTAGTATGAGACAAATATATAAGTTTCCCAACTAGCCGTTGATATTGTCCTTTATCAACTAGAGGACTCTCCTCTTCGTAACTCATCTTGTGATTCTGCTCAATAGGAATACTAAAGGGTTTACACCCAAGTTTTCCTGCTTCTTTAAGAAGATCAAAGACATATTTTCACTAACTGATAAAAATTTCTTCCTTTGAATGAGCTACCTCTATCCCTAGGAAATATCTTAATCTCCCAAGGTCTTTAATTTCGAATTCAAAGGCTAGTCGTACTTGTAGAACATGTCTCTCCGCAATATCATCCCCTGTTATAATAATGTCATCAACACACACAAGGAGCACAGTGAGCTTCCTATCTTGAGAGTGCTTAAAGAAAAGTGTGGTCTCTTGACTCTATTTGCATCCTAAGATCATCATAACTTTAGTAAACCTCCCAAACTAGGCACAAGGAGACTGCTTCAATCCCTAGAAGGCCTTCTTTAACCTACAAACTTTATTTTCTACATCCATAGAGTCAAAACCAGACGGGATTTCCATATAAACTTCTTCTAATTCACCATTAAGGTTCACATCAAATTGATTTATATCCTAGTTGTGATGGGCAGCAAGGGACAACAAGGCTCTCACAGTATTCATCTTTGCAATTGGGGCAAAAGTTTTTCATAATCAATGCAATAGGTCTGAGTAAAACCCTTGGCGTCTAATCGAACCTTATATCTCTCAAGAGTACCATCAGAATTATATTTTAGGACATAAACCTATTTGCACCCTACTGCTTTCTTTCCATTGGGTTTATCAACAATCTCCCATGTTTTATTCTTCTCCAAGGCATTTATCTCCTCTTGCATGGCCTAAACCCAATTCTCATCTTTTAATGCTTCGTGCATTGATTTTGGGATGGAAATGGAATCTAATGCTGACATAAAGCTTTTGTGCTGCATAGAAATGTTAGTAGAAAAAACAAATTGAGATATAAGGTGTTGGGTGCAAGATCTTTTTCATTTTCTTAAGGCAGTGGGTAAGTCATCAGAGGCAATAATATTATGTTTAGAAACAAGAGATTCAAGACTTACCAATGATTCAAACGATTGAGGTTGTTGGTGAAGCAGTATGGGTTGTTTTCTTCTCTGATATACCAATTCAGGTGTCAAAATTTTCTGTATCTCATGTGTATTTGAAGGTTCTGACACATCAGGAGTAGACACAGGAGGGAGAAGTGTAAGAGTAGACAAGGACGACCCAGACTCAAAGAAGAAAGGGGATGAGTCTTCTGAAGAGTTGTTCTCCCCCTGAGGATAAGGACCCGGGAAAAAACAGATTCATGAAAGGTGACATCCATAGCAACAAAAACATTTCGACTTGGAGGATGATAACAGTTGTAGCCTTTTTTATCAGGGGTATAACTAAGGAAGACACACTTAGGATCCAACTTGCTGCAATGTTGTTTATGAACTTGTTTATAAAACATGGACAAAGGCAACACACCCAAACACTCGTGGCAGAAGACTCTGCAAAATGGGAACAGAAGAAAGTCATGAAATTGATAGGATAGGTATTGTTAAGGACTCGTGAAGGTAAGCAGTTGATCAAAAAAGGTTACAGCTAACACGGCTTCTCCCAAATAAGAACTAGGAATAGATGTCTGGAAAAGTAGTGCTCTAGCGACTTCAAGGAGGTGACGATTTTTCCTTTGAGCAACCCCATTTTGTCGAGGAGTATCAACACATATGAGCTCATGAATCATACCTTTGTCTAAAAAGAATTGTGACAGACGGTGGTTGATGTACTCGGTACCATTATCAGATCTTAATCTTTTAAAATTTTTACCAAACTAAGTCTTGACCATATGATAAAATCGGATAAATATCTCTGGTACTTCAGACTTGTCTTTCATCAAGAATATCTATGTCACCCAAGTACAATCATCAATAAAAGAAACAAACCACTTTGCACCTAAAATACTATGCACTTTAGAAAAGCCCCAAACATCAGAATGAATAAGAGAAAAAAGTTCAATGCTTTTGATAGCACTAAAAAGAAAAGATACTCGATGGTGTTTTGCAAATTCACAAACATTGCAATAAAAGGTCTCGATTGACTGATTTAGAAACAGAGAAGGAGACATTAACTTCAATAGACTAAATGGTGGGTGCCCCAGAAGCTTGTGATGGAGCCAGATCATAGATTCTGAATTAGAAGGATAACGTGCCGTCAATAGCTGATTTTTTGTATCATTTGTAATGCTCTGGAAGGAGATAATACAACCTACCTTGCTCCTCAACAACTCCAATTGTCTTCTTCGTGGTTAGATCCTTAATAACATAATGAGAAAGGAAAAAGGTGATAGAACAATTCAAATCAATTGTAAACTTATGAGAGGAGATAAGATTAGTGGAAAGCTGAGGAACATAAAAAATATTTTTAAGAAACAAGGAAGGTTGAATTTGAATGTTACTAGAGCCAATAATTGATTTATGAGATCCATCGGCTACAACTATAGTACGATTATCAATAGTAGGACGATAAAAAAGAAAAGACTCAACAAGATAAGTCATATGATTAGTTGCACAAGAATCAAAATCCACGAGGTTTTAGAATCAGTGCAAGAAGCAAGAAGAGATGTAGAACATGTGTTCTTACCAAACAAGATCAAAGAACTGTTAGACGACTTACATAAAGTATCAATAATGGCCTTACACTTCTCCAACTCCCCTTGCCGAATATTCATATATGGAGTAG